CCCCCCCCCCCCCCCCCCGCCCCCCCGCGCGCACTCAAGGCTAGGGTTCCTCTTCGGGCTTGGCACGGGTGTCTGCGTGCGAAAGGTCAACCACAACGCCGCGTATGCCGTGAGCGGTGCTCTCGTAGCCGCGCAGGTGAGCGTTTGTTCTACCAACGCTGCGTGGGGTACCCGAGCACGAAAACAGCAGCAAAGTAGTCGGAACCAAAGTGTCGACGTGTCGGGGTGGGAAGTATTCCTTCTGCCGTTTCAAACCTAAAAACTCAAATGACCAACGGGATTCGTGCAATGATCGCCTTTCGAAGTCCGTGTTGGTCATGCACGCGCGGACGTGCGGCAAGCGTTTGCTCTTGAATGCGTTAACCATTCCCTCAGTACGCAAGCCCCCCCCCCCCCCCCCCCCCCCCCCCCCCCCCCCCCCCCCCNAGTACGTGTCTCGCACTGACATCCTAGGTTTTGGTGGCAAGCTGGGTTGGCCCAAGCTGGACGACTACAAGCTAAGGGACTGCGAGCGCGAGAACTTCGACTTCATCTGGCGCACCGGCCGCACCTTCAAGCACACCGTCCAGGAATCCCTGGAAACATGCGGTAAGAGACCGTCCGTTGTTGCCGTAGTTGTTTATTCAGCACGGTACATGCATATGCTCTGACATGTGTAGGAGAGGCGTGTTCATGCAAGCATCCATTGTTTTCTGCCTCCAAGAGTCTCTGATTTTGCAACTTTCACATTTCTTTTTTTTTTTTAGTGTTCACTAACAGCATTTTCGGTAGCGCCGTCTGGGAGCTTCTGGAGAGATCTGTGGTGGGGTCTTCGTATGAGCAATTCCGCTAATTTTGATCATGGCCAATTATGTGTGCAGTTCACGGCAGCGAATCACGAGCCCCAAGAGCGCGCGTTGCTTGTCGCCTCGTGTCTTTCCTGGTGTACTGCTGCAGTTCGATAGGCTCGTCCTTTCTCAGGCCTAAACAGCACGACCCTTCCAAGGGTTTTCGCCGGCCTATCGAGCATTAATCTTCACCCCTCACCCCCCGCGACGTCCGCCGGATTTTGTTCCGTTTCTTCCGCTTGGCACACCAGAGGGATACGTGATCGGGTTGGCCGCGGGCCTCAAGGCACCTCTTCCCTAATGAGGTTTTCCTGTCGTCGCGCGGTTTCCACAACACCTTCGTAGGCCTTTAAGGCTCAGGAGCCTAGATTTTTTCGCTAACGCCGCATGGACATCGCGTACAGGGCACTTGGTGCACGAACGGCAAGGGTCGGTGTCCTTGGAGCTGAGTGGCCCCCATTAGGGTTGATGACCCCCCATCAGGCCCGAACAGACCCCTCCGTGATGAGCCATCCGCTCCTCGTTCCTGAACAGCAGCGCAGAGCTGGTCTGCTCCACAGTAAGTAGTGTTCTCCTGTAGTCAAGACATGTGTAGATTTTACGTAAAAGTATGCTTGATGATTGTATGAAAGGGCGCGGCACTGCAGCGCAACGTTCTCCTCGGACTTGCTGGTATGCGGTTTCGAGCAACCTTCACCGCTTGCCTAACGCTCGCGGGCGATTTTTCTTGTCTAGCCTGCTTGGGGACTCGTAGACACTCGCCAGGACATTCAAGAGTGGTCGAATTGTAGATGTGGTGTGGAGTGAAAGCAAGCGTGCAAGTAATATAGAAGTAAATAGATGTAGAGCTTAGGGTACCAACGGAGTGGCGTCACCACCACCTATTCTTCGTGCCAATATATGCATGCCGACCACAGGGATGGACTCCACATGTGGTGAAAAGGGGATTTTTTCTTTGAACTTTCGACCGCTACTGTCTGCGTACGCCTTGGCCGGCTGGGAATCGGTTGATTGAGTATCAGAAGAACTTTTGATACAAAAGCCTCCAGTGGCCATCCTCGTCAGTGTGTGTGGACAAGAGGCATCGTTGAGTTTGTCCCAACACATATCACAAGTTGGCTCAAGCACGACACTCTGAACTGACCGTTGAACAGGCGCTGCAATTGTGTTTGATGCCGAGCATCCTACAGGCCACTGCTGTTGTCGTGTCTGGGAGTGAGATATCCCATATTCCGAAACAAGCTGCTGCCACGGTCCATGGGCTCTAAGATCGTCTGCGGCAAGGCATCGTGTTTGTACGTACGTCGCCATGAGAATCTTTTCTGGCGACGTTTGTTGAGAACAGGTCCAGTGAGCCTGTTCGGTGAAACCTCCCCCCTGCCTGCACTCTATCGATGAGACCCCTACAAGAGGTCCATGTTTCCCCTTCCCCTCCCGTTGAGCTGAGGTGACCCCTGGGTCCTTGCTGATGACTCCTGCATTGTTTGATTTTTCGCTGGCTATGCGGGCCTCTGATGTTGCAAGAGGGCGGGCCAATACTACAGTAACCTTGGTGGCTGCAACTGTACCCTAAGCTACGAGTGCCCTACAGCAGTCAGGCAGTCGACCCTACACCCAATTACGCCCTGACCTAAATATCGAAGTCTCTTCAAACCTCACCCAAGTTTAGACTATGATGAAGCCAAAGACTAAAACCAGAATATTTCGGAGGCGGGAGCTCGTTCGATGCAGCCGTTACCATTACTGCAAGCGCTGACAACACGTTTGGTCAGATGTGTGCTGCCTTGATATGCGCATCCCATACATATGGCGTGTGCGCGCGTGCTGCCAGCACTTGTCCGTTATACTGCTATCGTCACTTCGGTTATGCTGGCGGTTTCGGATATTCTTTCCTCAAAATACGGTATCTAGACTTAATTGTAACCGCGACGGTTGCACCCCCAACCCCCTGCCGCTTCCTTGCAATTCCTTGTAGAGCCCTGTGCAAATGCATGATTTCCGGAGGACGGTGCAGAGTAAAGTACACAAATACACCACGTTGAGAGGGACATGGAGAATTGACGCGTGCAGCACATGTGATAAATCATCAGTGTATAGACTTGTAAAGACTCGAAATGAGTCCAGTACCCAGCCGGTTTTCCTCCACTTACTGAAAAGACTCCACCACATCCCGTTCGACTGTGGGTATATCTCGAATGGGTAGTCTTTCTGTGCGTGTATTTATTTCTCCTTAATTTATTGTTCCGAAAATCGCACGCGCCACGCATGAAGACAGACCAGCACCCCTAGTTCACGCCGGTGATTGGCCAAAATATGTTAAAACGGACAGTCCCGTGACAGCGTTTTTGAAGTTTCGAAATTCTTACCACGCTCACGCACCTTGGAACCCGCCAGCAGCACAGCAAAAGCGCACAGGCTCTCGTCTATGATCAATCGATCACGCACCGGCTAATGCATGGTACACACCCTAGAGTTGATCCGACGACATGGGGGTCTATTGGTGGGGAAAATTTGTCTCTTGCCTCGCAAACACAAGCATGGTATCGCAGAATACTGCTGGCTACTGCTCTACATAGGTAGACACGTGCGAATCCCACTTTCCGGTGGGGGTATGCGAGAGAAAGTTTTTCATCCAGGGGAGACCTCTGATGAAGCTGCGCAAATGACCTTCACACAGAGGAACTTCCTGGGAGTTCGTCCTCGGTCAAGAAGATGAGCTGGATACTGTTTGGTAATTGAAGGCCCGCGATGCTGGTATTACTTCGAACATTGTACGGTACGCCGAAGGGGTAGGCCAGGGTGCCCTCGCTGGCGAAGAAAGGTCCAAAACCATCATCCCATTCGCGTCGATTATTCGTCACGTGATAATTCGCCGTGGTAGCAGGCATAGGCTCTCTCTGAGACGACATAGTGACGGCTCACTGCCGGGGAAGACTGGTGTGACTGCGGCTAAGGCGGAACCAAATGCAATGAGGGTGCCTTGGCGCCTTGGCCGACTACTGCTTGATCCACAATGAACTCTCTCTTGCCCGCGCGACACCCACGGCGGGAACAACGTGCTGTCTCCAATACTACCCAGGCTGACAGCAGCAAACCCCTCACCCGGCAGGCGGGCAGAGGAAGCAGCAGTCCCCAACGATCGACTAGTAAGCATCCATCCCGCTCAACCGCCGAGATGCTCAGCGGGATATCCAACACGCGAAGCCTCGCCTTCCTCATGAACGTGGCGGGTGAGGACAGCGAGGCAGACGACGACGAGAACGACTTGATCGCAGCCCCATCACCTCAGCAGAGGTCGCCATCGACACCCGAGGAGAAGCAGGCAGAGAAGAAGCACCGGCACCCTTCAGGGCAGTGCGGTCCCCTGCTGCTCAACCACACCGCAGCGGCAGCAGCGGGCCACCGCTGCCGCCACTCTTCCTTGCTGCCTCTCGCGGATCTTGATCAGCTGATGCCGGGGCTGCTGACCTGCCGCGACGACAACATGTCCAAGCTCGCCACCCACAGCGACGACGACAGCGGCGACCAGGCCCTCGGACATGGGCATGGCAGCCCCGCTGGCGACAAGAACGAGCAGCCCAGCACCGGACGAACGGTAGCCGTCTCCGAGTTCTCCAACTTGGCGGGCACGGGCGCGGCGGCTACCGTCGTTTTCCCTCCACGAAAGCCGGCGGCGGGTGGAGACGGTCGTGCCGGTCGATCATCTCTTGGTCTCGTGCCCTCCTACTCCTCTGTGGAGTATGCCGGGTGGTCCAAGTTTTGCCTGGCGTCCAGCGACACCGAGAACGAGGGTGGCAGCTCGGATTCCTTCGAGCAGGCCAAGGAGGTGAGAGGTCTGGAGGGATTACAGGGAATGAATCAGGAATACTAATAATCACACCGCTGTGCTGCTGTGAAACTCTTGGGGTTGGCCCGGCGCGGGTAACGTTGTATGAAGAAACCGTTGCTAGTTGACAATTGTTCGTAGCAAACCGCGTGTGTGTGAGAGTGGAAATGCCGGCCGAAGGGAAGTTTCGGTTTGAACATTTCCACGGGTCCAAGCAATAGTCGAAAGTCGCAGTTGGTGCAACTGCCGGACAAACTCAAATTACCACACGCGCTCTACGCTTGCTCCTACCAGTCGTACGATTTAACTGCTACAATATAGAAGCGCTCTGATCCCTGGATGTGGTCAGCTGAAGAGTTTGTACCAAGTACCATGCGCTCTTTGGCACGTAAAACAAGGGCTGACATTTCTCAATCGGCTACAAGTATTTATTGATTCATTGTAAGAAGAATTCGACTTGAATCTTTTGGCGCGCAAGGTGTTGTCGTCAGTAATGTTTTTGGAGTTTTTTGTTGTTAGTGATGGTGGTACGAGTGGCAGCGGGTTTGATGAAGCCGTAGTTGCCGGTAGTCGAGCCGTTCGGCCTTCATCGTGCCACTCTACGCACTACCGCGGGCCCGCAGTTGATGAGAAATCTGATACGAACGAAAGGCTCAAGCGTTTACGGAAAGTTCCAAAAAAGAGATGAGAAACAAGAAACACAGCTCCAGTCTCACGCCACGACGTAGACAACCGTCCCAACAGGAAACCTGATGGTGCGATACCCCCAAGACATAGGAAACAAGGGGTAGCTCGGGAGCGTGTCCAACAAGGAACGTCCCACTGCTGCTCCTTCCGTGTTCCCACCCCCCTACCTAGCTGAATATTGCGCTATTTCTTTGTAGGGAGGAGAGTGGCCGTTGGGGCATGGGTGCTGCTAGTCTAGAGGTGGACGAAAAAGGAGGGTGCCAGCTACGTCCCGGAGGGCGACAACCCCCAATGTTCGCCTCACCGAGCTTTCTGGTTAATGCTGCATGAGTATTTGGTGTGCTGTTGTATTCTCAGCTAGAAATAAGAAAATCAGAGGGATGCGACAGTCAAAAGGAATAAGAAATGTCTTTCATGAAAATGGACGACTTCGGCTGGTCCTTCGACTCACAACAAGGAATTAAGGCTCTACCCGATTTTGGCGTTTCTTATCTGCGGGCCCATACTGTACTACCGACGTTTTTTTTTGCAGCATAGAGAGACAAAATACGGGTCGTGAAATATCGCGGATGCCAAAACCACACAACTACACTGCGGATGATGTGTAAGAGGAGGAGACTGTTGTCGGCGACGAAAAGGCGCAGATGGTCGCTGTAGTGATTCAGCCCGATTTGACGGGTAAGTATGGCAACTGGCACCAACATGGTTCCTTCGTTTGCACGAGTTTACAGCAGCAGTTTTTCACCGAAAGATGAGTCTCGTCGAGCGCTTACAACGTGGCACTACCGGCCTATTCGCGCGTCGTTGTGTGTCGAGGCGTCTACGAATCGTTGCACGCGCTTCCTCCAACACCCCGGACCATACACCGGGGTTTGTTGAACACCCAAGCAACCAGGGAGGAAAGTGGTAGTCTCGTTTTGGGTGGACAAAAGCCCCTTTGATGTTCGCATTCCACCCAAGCCTATGCTATGCGGGAGAACTCCGTCCGAGTGAATCACCTGGGATGAATTTACGCCGTCGGCAGGACTACGACAAAGCACAAGCAATTGGCGAAGGCTAGGGAGAATTCCATGACAACCCGTGTGCCAAGAAAACGAGCATACTGCCAACAATGTTCTTGTCGTTAGAGCGCTGTCGTATTTGCACGACATGCTCATGTGTTGCTTCCCACGCCACCGGTATTTTAGAATATTTTCTTGGTGCATGCGCGCTTTCAAAGACAGCAATAGGTGCCTCCATGTGTGACGGAGACGAAGGCAAAAGCAGCGATAACGAAAGCAAGAGATGAAACAGCCGCACGACTTCCTAGCACAGGCAAGGGTTGATGCCGTCCATTGGCGTACTTTCCCAGCACAGAGACAGAGAGTCTCGCGCACGCTAGTTCTTTCTCCCTACGACATCGCGCGTTCGCGGTCTAAAGAAACACACACACACAACCCTCATACACAGGAGGACGGCGCATGTTTACATGGGCGCAAATGATGAACAACGTGTTCTCCCTATATGATTGTTACTTTCGGTGTTTGGGCGCAGGACGAATCCGAGGACGACAGCCGGACCTATTCCATCACCAGCGGGGAGGAGGATGACGGCCACGTCAACAGCGACGAGACGGACCCGCCGCTGCGAGGCGAGCAGGACTTTTTCGACGGAGGAGGCGACGGCGGCGGCGGGCCGAGCAGCGGCAAGAGCTTCGACAGCGACATCCACTTCACGGTGCAGGAAACCCAGGCCATACTCCGGGTCATGGAACGTCTCGGCTGCGGAGCAACGGTAGGCCGAAAACTTTGCTTGTGCGTGTTGGGGTTAGAGGTGGCTAAGCGGGGGGGCGGGGGGGGGGGGGTGGGG